CGGAGCGGCGACGCACTGGCGTCTACAAACCTAACAGGGATACTTCACGCATTGCGCAACGCGTGAAGTAGGCGCCAATGCGTGTTTCGCGCTGGCTGCCCGCCTGCCACGGCGCTTGAAGCAACTATTTCACACCAGAGGTATTGCACAGTATCATACGAAACTGAAGGCGCTTTAATATATTGGTAATGGCAGGCATCCATCAAAAGTAAGGAGCTTTCCTCGCAAAATAAATCAAGATACTACGGACCAAAAAGAGAGCAGTATTCCAAAAACTCACTAAGTCCTAGCATCCGTAATTCGTAACGTTTAGCATACACTTTATCGCTTGGCTGTGAATTGCTTAATCGCCATCGGCTATAAAAGGCTATAAGAAATTGTGTAGCCGGCTATAGAAGCTATTGGAAATCTTACAGCCGGCTGTAGGTCTAAGTATGGTATTTTGGAACAGATTCTACTGCCAATTTTTACCAGGGTATCAATGGTGACCTCTCATTTTTTGGACCATTATTATGCATTTATATATTATACATACGAAAGAACTCGATTGAACATGGGTTCGTCGACTGCAGAAATTGAAATATCTCAGAAAAAACCTTAAGTATTCTGGAAAAACACTCGAATAAATAAGGACGTCATGCGAGAAGACAAAGAATCCGGTGCTAAAAGAAACAACCACTTTAAAAGCCTACTTCAGAGGAATATATGGACGTGTTTATGCTAAAAGGAACTATGTGCATATGCATTGCGTGTGACATAGTTCCTTTTAGCATAAATACGTCCCTATACTCAACAGACGATACATTTCGTCGCCCTCCTGACGTGAGAACAAAACTGTGGCGAGACGTGAATGATCGATTATCGATTTTCCCCCATTTGAAGCTGTGGTAAAGAATCAATTATTGAAGCGTTCGCTGCGAACACCCTGTCTATCGATCCTTTTCCATAGGTTTAAATGGCAGATCAATCGATACATCGCAAAGCACGCCACGCCATTGGACGATACATTTCGTGCCCCTCCTGACATGAGAGCAAAACTTCAGTGACAAAACTTGTGGTAAACAAATTTTGAATTTTATCTCAAGTCTCGACACCATACCTACTCAACAAGCTTCCCATTTAATTTTTGGTCTTCATTTCAATGCTTTATGTATAACCGATGTACTTAAAATCAAGCCAATGAATATCACGGCATTAATGAACGTCAGTAATTTGAGACGGGCGAAAATCCAAGATTTGTCTTCATTTTCACGTGATACCGCAAACCTACTCGGGAGTTTGAATAGTTGCACGCTTGATTTTCACATACAACGGTTCGAGTATAATAATTTGGAGCCACGTAGTTTTCTACTGGAGCCACGACACAGGAAAAAAAAGAGCTTTATAGACATACCGTTCGTTCCGGGCCATTCATAAACGCCAGTAATTTGAGACAGGCGAAAAGCCAAGATTTGACTTCATTTTCGCGTGATACCGCATGCCTAGTCCGGAGTTGGAATAGTTGTACGCTTAGTGTCAACTGTGACGAGTTTCAATTCATATAACATCTTCATGCGAATTTACAAAAAAATTAAAAAAAATTCGCGAAGTTTCCAGCAGTTTTGCAGAGACATGTGAAAATATACACGATTTTCATCTCATTATCGCTGCAAATACGTGATTTTTTCAGCGTTTTGGTAAAAACGTCAAAACTAGCGAATTTCAAACATATAACTCTTTCAGAAGGTTTCTAAAGAAACTATCTGAATCTAGAAGAGATGTTATTTCTTGGCTGGTTCCTGTCAGTGAAACTCTGACTCCCAGTATAAATGTTATACTTAAGTCTATGGTATAAAGCATTAAACCTAATAGCTTTTGATGAGCTAGAGACAAACCAGTGTTAAAAAAAAATCTTTCAGCTGTTAGCAACTACCTAAGTTTAACATCTTTGGTAGTATTCCTTCCTGATTTTCATTTAGGGACCAATTCTAGGAGTCTGCTCATCAATCTAAGATTGATGATACCTGGGGTCCATTCAATTTAATTCAATCATTTACTTTTGAGCAAGCTGTTGAGCACAAAACAAAAAAAACCCTCTTAATTTAGGGGGGAGGGATAATCTGTAGTGACAACCATATGTTTAGTTCTATTTAGTTGCTTGAAAAATCAATCATCACTACACGAAGAATGCTTTGGAAATTAGTGTTGAACAGAAAGAATCTCATTGTCAGATGGTAGGTAACTTTGCTTTGACAATATCTCCCATCAGAGGTGCCAATGGTTCTCAACGGAGCAGTTGCAACCAAACTATTGACATGCCTTGCAAATTGTGGAAACTGAGAACTGGTGTTACAACCACACCATTTTTATACAAATCCGCTTTTCACTTGCAATGGGCCAAGAGACAAGGTTTTACTTAGAGCTTTATTCATCATGATTTCTTTTCAAAACTTCACAAGGAAAGCAAGGTGCACCCAACGGAAGGTCTGGAAATCAACTCCAGGATTGCCACAGAATTTAGAAAATTAAATTCCCTGACATTTCCCTGACAAAATCAGATGTGACAGACAGTTAGGAAGACATAAGTGAAAATAGTTATCAGGCAAAATTTGTTGTTCGAAACCTCAACTCATTCTAGAAAACAAATGAAGGTGATATACTTGACAAATTTTCTCTGACATTTCCCAGTTTTCACTGACTTTTTAAAATTCCCTGACATTTCACAGTTTGCCCTGACTGTGGCAACCCATCAACTCCTAAGAAGATACCACTATTTAAATTTAACATTGATTAAATAGCAAAAGTACAGATGTCAAAATGTCATTTGAATTAACAGATTTCCATTTGATCTGTTATTGATACTTATAAATATCTCGCTCAAGAGTTGATTTCCAAACTTCCTCTTGTGTGAATCTCCTTCTATGTAGGTACGATTTCTAATAAAAAACTTTAGACGTTTGTCTGTAGATCAAACCTAGGCTGGTAGCCCATTCCATGAACCATCACCGGAGTGTCTAGCAAAAGCATCTTTCCCCAAATACTCCTCGACTTCCCAGGTTTTCCCTAGCTCTTGGATTTACCGTCACACTGCCTTCTCCTGATTCTCCCTGACCAATTCTATCTCTCAGGCTTGTCTGGTTCAGAAAAAACCTCCTCATACCTACCTAGTACATCTTGGAGTCGAAACACATTGCGTTCCAAAAAAGTAACAACATTGCTTTACGTTTCAGTAGGCGGTGGGCGTTGCCCACCATCAATTCTCGATGGCTATTGGATGACTGCAATGCTCTTGGTTACAAACAGTAAGAAAATAACTGCTAACTTACTTATCTGATGACAACTTTGCTTATGAAAAGTACATATAAGTTGCTGGGACCTTTCAAAAGATTAATGGCTGAGATTGACCGATTCAAATACCTAGCATTTGTAAATTCACAGCAGAGCCTAGTCTGGTGGTCTATGATATAGTTTTGGGTACGTTTACAGTTTACAGAGCAGACACGGAGCTACAACTTCAACCTATATTTTGACCGTGTCTCCTATCTGACTGTTAATTCCTTCAAATTTGAAAGAATTCATTCAGAGTAAGGAATCTATATGCAAGTCCATGAAAGGTGGGAACTTACCTAGGGTCATACTTTTGGAATTTTTCATGCTTTTCTTTCTGCTTTCGCTGATCGCAGAAATCCAGTTGCTAATTTTTTTGCTACCAGAGGATGTCAACAAACTGAGCGAACCGCTCTTCCTGAATCTGACAGGTTTCACATCCATTTTTAAGGTTTGTCGCTAACACACTGGACACTTTTTACTCACAGTTTAAACACAAACAGCACGGTAGAGACACAGATTGTCAAAATCATCGGAACACTCGAGTACTGCTTACACAATAAAGATCGCAAAATCTTGACGGACAAAAACACTCGTGATACTTCCTTAATCGACGTGAGTCTAACACATTCGGAACAATCCACTTCAAAGTGAGCTTTAGATTAGAAATATAAGTTAAAATGACGCTACCGATGCAATAATTATCTTTAAAAAACATTAATTCAGCCATCAGGCACGGCGACACGACGCAAGCAAGCACGGCACAGAAGACGGAACGAGCACTGCAAATTTCGAGATGTTGAGGTTAGCCTCCAACGCCATCTTGTTTTCAGATCACGAACTACGGAGCACAAAAGGAAATTACCGAAAATGCCCGGAAATCGCCGAACAATGAGTCAAAAACCGAACATGAAACCCGCAACTTTTGAAATATCGACAGCGGAACTACAAAAACGTGTAACTCGTCAATTCAAGTTATTAATCATTACCTTTCAAAGTTAAAAAAACTTGATTAATTATAATGAACTAAGGAGACATTTATTTGAGGGCAGAGACCAAACAATAAACATACCAATGGTTGAGATCAAGTTTAGTGGTCTGTTGAACACGGTTTTACGTTTTAAGCACTTCAGCACCGTAATTGCATTAGCAATCATTTCATAAGAGATTAAATAAAAAGTCGTAATTTCTGGAGCTGAGGATTTCTATTGCATATGTCATTATTTACTTGCACCTGAACACCTCATGATACTTCCAGTCGTCTGCCCCCCCCCCCTCCCAAGCTTTTTTTATGCACTTATCTAAACATTCAGCTTAACGAGTTTCCTTGAATTTTGCCTTTGTGTCAGACCCCATGAGAGTCCTACAGAGGAGTGGGTTCATGACATCCATCCAAACCGAGAAATAATTTCTTTAGAATTTATCAAAAGGCAATCTAATAAAACTAATTTTTTAGTTTTCTATTTTTGTCACTCACTGCTTCATATCATGAGAGACTTTCACCACTTGAGATATCGAATGGTTTCGACATGATCCAAAGACTATCAGAGGATGCAAAATGAGAGCACTCAATTATATTTTCATTTCCTTTTTTTACCTCCATAACCTAGATAGGTATGTACTCAGTAGAAAGAAAGAGAGGAGAAAGAGACAAGAATAAAAATGAATGAGGTGACGGATAGTTCAAAAATTACCTTTTTCAGGACTTGGTTTAAAGATTTCTGGATGAGACTGCACCAGTTTTGCTGCTCCTTTTTTGACATAGCCTGAAAAGACAAAAGAAACTATGATTTCAAATTCAAATTCAAATATGTTTATTTCACTTCATGTAGGTACGAATATCACAGCTAATTTTTTTTGTTTGTTTACTTCTTCAAGTAGCCCACGAGGGCTAATCCCGCACTATAGTCCCGTTCCCCCTCCGTCCCTACTGTACAACCAGTCCCAGGCAATCATTGATTGAGACCATCTAACTCGGATCGCCTGGTCAGGAATCGAACCTGGGACCTCCCGATTATAGAGCTAGGGCTACAACCACTACACCACAGGAGGCCGATTTTAACAAGATTTCAAAAAATAAAAATAAATTTAAATTAAAAATAAATAATAAAAAATACTGAAATATTAATATATTAATAATTAATAATAATAATAAATGATAAAATAATAATTAAAATAAATTTAGTGAAAAATGGATTTGAAAGTTTTTTTAATGGATAGCTCTTCTCCAAAAATAACTATTTTTCCAGCATGTGTGAAAAACATCTTATGGTCAACATTTTGCAAACAGGACCCACATGAGTTTAGCTGGTGAAAATACTAAACCAATGTTCTTGGTTTGCAGCATCCCAAATTTCCTATCAATTTTACTTTTGCTTCGGATAGCTGATCATAATTTTTTAACTAAATTCATGCCCAGATTTGATGTTTTGCCACCTCCGTTATGGTTCTATCAAGAAAGACTGCCCTCCAAGGAAGGGTCCGAATGGCTCTCCCAGAAAAAGTCGAAAAAATGATGTCTCATTTCAGCAAGTTTATTTTTCAAAAAATTTTATCTGTGTAACTGTTACGTTCTTAAAAAACAAAAAAATAGTGAATAAAAAGTGATAGGTGAAAACACTCATTTTCCTTCACTCTGATTTTTTGCTGCCCATATTTGCCGCTCCTAGGCAATTACCTAAATTACTGGCCCAGTAAATTCAGGCATGATAAAATTGTTTGTAATTTCCTTTCCATTCAAGATTATACCCATAGGTATGATCTGAAATTGTAGGGCAAAAACATCCAGTGTTGCATATGCAATTAAAAGAATAAAGAAGGAGCAGAAGATTGGACACACTGCTGTTGATAATGGTATTTTCATAGATTCCTTGTTGCATTAAAAAATTTACTGCAAAATTATTTTTTTACCTACGTACAAAAGAGATACATAAAAAAAATTACAGCTTTTGTTAGATTTTTTTAGAACTTGAAAAAAAAATTTCTGAAGAAATTTGAAACAATACCTAATAACTAGCAATTTTTAAAAGAATCTATGTTGTCCTGAAAAAAGTCAACTGTCAATTTGACAATGAAGGTAGGGTTTTGAAGCTGACAGAACATTTTTGCCTGAGTATGGTGACTGACTCCTTATCACTCCTCCTCACTGACTCCTTTGCTTTGAGGCATGTCAGTTTATCCTACAATATATGTAAGGGCCTGAGAGCCAAGAACTTATGAGCCAGCAAGTTGTAAAAATTAGGAAATTTATGGCTCAAGAAATTTCTAGCGCTCGGGCCATTGAGGAAATAAACCTAGCAGGTAATTTAGGTAATTCATGGCATGAAATCAAAATCTCAGGAAGAAACAAAATTTGACTTACATTTAGATTTACAGGAGTCATCCTTGCTGCACGGAGATGTTTCTGCCAACTCAGATAAGGAATTGTCAATGCTCAGCCGGAATGTTTGCGAGAGCCTTCGTCGAATTTTCTTCAGACTCATGATTGGATACGGACAAGTTTAAAAGGCACTAAAATCACAGGTTTTGTTTTTAAGGAGGGATAACTGAGATCACATTTTCAACGAATTGATAAATTGATGACATTAGAGCTGGATCAGAAAAGCATTATGCGGATCTTGTATTGCAACTAGCAATGGCAAGTAAAATCAATTGTTAATGTATAAAAGCGCGCAGATGTTATGAGAGGTGAATTGCAAGTTTGTTGCAAGGTTGAGGGTGTTACCGAAGATAATTGCGCGATAGCTACAAGTTCACTTTGAAGTTGTGACCACAGAATCAAAATTTTAGGGGGCGATTGTACAATGAATTCAATACATTGGTCGTATACCAAAAATGACCAAACCCGACCATTCTGACGAGGACGGAGACGTAGAAAACCGACAGATAATTGAAACGCAAAACTGATTACGCGATAAAGCACTCCACTAGCCGTGACACATCGCGAAAACTATAAATAATCGATAATAATGGAGTACAGAAATAATACTCATTCAACAACAGTAATTGTTATTATTACATTTAAAAAGTAAACACAGCCGGTCTGTACCTAATACCACCTACACTCATACCTTTTACCACCGAAGAATAAGCTAGGAGGTTAGGTGTCTTCGATAAAAATATGGTTCTTTTATGCAATTTTAATGCCTCTAATGAAAATCCTTCATTTTCAAGTGCGCGTTTGAAATTTTAAGCTGTGGTGAAATTTTTGCGCGTAATGTTCATTTCGAATACAGCAGTCCCCATATGATGCCATAACCAGTAGGTTCCTAACCTCTTTTTGCGCTGGAAGGTATGGGTAGATGGTATGGTATTGAAGAAGAGAGGTTGAACTTTCTTATCAAAGTTCTCCAAATGTACACAAACGAAGTTGACGACTGAATCAGTGGGTAAATTGATCAATTTTAATCCTTTAATGTCGCTGTTTACCTTTGTGTTTACCGAGTACCGTGATTGAAATTTTCAAGGATGTTGTAAATATTCAAAAAGAGCAATTGCTAATAACTTGGGTTCCCCTTTCTGTTCTGCCTTTCGCTGTCTCAATTCTGGTTTCGCTGTGATCATGAAGTGACTCTTTGAAGCCATGCGTCTAATGTGGTAATTATTTTCTTCTTATTTTCGTTTCTCATATCTACCCCATTTACTGTCCCAATTATCATCAAAATACTGATTTTTTTGCTGACCTATCATGCCATGGTCCTCCTCTGCCGAAGTTAGTGAAATGCCCCTGCATGACACTTCATAAGTTTTTTCCATTCTAAAGATGCGTCGATTATATCATTCAAATATTTCTTTAGAAGGGATTCTGTGGAAGTAATAGGAGAGTGCCTCTTATTTTTTTTTCCATGTTGAATGATACAGATCTACATCTCTAAAGCGCTTTGTATGGGGAGGGGGGTTGAAAAGTCTATAATTTTGTGTCATGTATTTTGGAATGATCCCTCATAGTCTCTCTCTGCCCTCAATGCTACTTGTCCATCTTACAAAAATTGATCCTTGTAACAGGATGTAATAATCAATAATAAATCCTTACGACGCCAGCTAAAGTCTTTTACTTTAATCATAGACTTGTAACACAATCTAGATTGCACACCAGGCCCAACTTTCGACGGTTGAAGTGAGACAGCCAGGGGGATGAAGACGCACCTTCACCTGAGTTGACACAGCCTGGTGTACATGTAGTGCCATGTGACGCCTACTGTAGGAGTGTGGCCGGGGATCTGTTTTCCGAGAGTGGTTTGCGTTCGCAGAAATTAAATGGCACTCAAGACAGCATGGCTGGATGCCACTACATACAATCTGGATTGCCTATCCTCCCTTGGAAATATCCAAATGCATGGTCTTGATTGTATCATACATTCATGACTTTAATGCATATTAAGGAATTCTTCGGAGTATCTTACTCCATGGCGGTATCCTGGTGTTTGCTATAACGCATTGTCATTGGAGTTGCAATTGGTATAAGTTGATAACAGCAAATTTTATCCACTTACATGTATGGAGAACCTTTAATGTTATAGAAGAGAGCTGCCTCATCTAAGATCAATTATTCTAAATAAATTTAAATGAGGGAAAAAGTAATATCATCTACTTGCAATGATCACTATCAGTCCTTCGTATCTTTTTTCCTATTCCTCCTCACATGGGTATATCGACCAGGAAATACCTACTGGTTGTATAGCTTTATGAGCAACTAGAGTGGCAGCGGTTTGATAATTGAAACTGTGTTGGCATGACAAGACAAGACGTAGCCTTATATCAACGATGCAATGCATATCGGCCTGCAGGTCTCTCTTATTCTAATCAAAAGGAGGGAAGAGTTGCTTTGTGAAGTCATCATTTTACTTTGAGCAAAATAACCTTTTGGTAAAATTTATTATTTGCAATTAAGCATTATGTAATTAAGCATCCCATTTCTAAACTTCAACCCTCAATTTCTATTTCAGAGGTTTCGAACAGCTCAGCATGCCAAAACATAACAAAAAGTCCCGAAATGTCAAACCCAAGTTTCTCAAAATTTCCAACACTCATGCAGATGAAAATACAACACCGAGAATCAATATTGGTCTGTCCAACATTTCAAAATGGAATCAGTTGAAGAAACAACTTTATCTGGAGACGGATGAGGCATTTGTTGCTCATCTCTTGAAAACCTTGGAGGGTCTTCTCAGGTACGTTTGAATCTACTTGACTGATTATTCGTAAATTATTGCCTCAATATACACCCAAATTTTGCCTACTCGCCAATGTATGACGTCAAAATTTGAGATCAAGGATGCAGATATTTCTAGGCCTCCTCAATTTCCTGCAACACCGTGGCTTTTGCATAAAAGTTCAACACAATGCGCTAATCGAAATTATGTTAAATTTTTTTTATTATTTTTGGATGTGTGGGGTGTGTGCCCATATCATATCATTCCACAAGAGTTGATAACGTGAAAACCTTCAAACAAAACAATACAAAAAAAACTCATCCTCCAAAATTTTCAGAGCACTTCCACAAATTTGGTCTCAACCGTGCGGTCGAAATAATTTGCTCCCCTGTTTGAAATCTTGGTATAGATGTCTTAATCTCTTCGATAGCCTCTTTGAGTTATCATGCTTGTGTTCCTTTTGTCAACCTTTTGAAATATACAAAGATCATTCTGTCCCACCCTTCCTACTTTTAATGTAGGTAATGTTGTTTCGATGTTACCACAACAGCAGGAGAAAGTCTATTTAAAATCTTTGTGACATTGCTGCATCACACTTACACCTTTTGTCCTGTAGCATTGAAATGTCACTGTGCTTAATACCTTTACAAGTTTTACCCTCAAACTCCTCCAGATTTTAAGAGAACAATTGAACTAGTTGTGATTTTGGGGCATATTCAATTGCTGAGACTAATTTTTTGTGGACTGAGGTCCCTCTCCTATGGATGTCTATAATTACTAACTAACTAAGAAAATATAACTAAGAAAGTTCCTGCACTTAGCCGTCTCAATGCCTCCATATTTTCTTGAAGTCATTAAACCCAGTGGAATAGCTCTCAATTTCAGTTGAATGAAAAATAACTAACTACTCACATATAAATAACCCATTGATGTCCAAGTAATCATCTAACATCGAGCATAACTATTCGTTAGTATTTTTTACCCTGTGGCATTTGTTATTTTTCCATTTTATTTTAATTCTTTCAGCAAACAAAATGAGAATAAAGCAAAGGTTGAATCGTCACAACGACACACAGGTGCAATTGAAATTTCCCGAAATTTTTCATCGAAGGACAGTTTTAGCAGCGATATCCGTGAGTGTCTACTTTTATTAATTTGAACAAGCTTTAATACAATGCTTACATGTTGACAATTTCCTTCAAATGAAGGAGATGCAAAAAGGAAATCCTGAAAATCATTGAATTTATTTACTCTAATCCTGTACATTGTGCACCATGAAGATAGTCAAAAAAGATCTCCTAATAATCAGTTTTAAATTGCTTATTGCACTGTTATAATGCAAATGAAAAAATCTTGTCAAATGTTAAGAAGGAAGAAAGGTTACTCAATGGTTTGCAAATCATGCAAAAAACCAGTTAATTCTAGATTGCTTTTTACCAGATTTATCGGTTTCCACCTTTTTCATTTTATTTATCTGTGAATATTCAATTTACTCTTTTATTCATTTTCGTGTTTTATTTTATTATTTATGTTTTAGAAGACAATATTGATGTCAATTTAAGTGCTGGAAGGGAACAAATTCAAATCGAAAACACACAAGAAACTGATAGGCCAACTTCTGAAATCCACGATGGTTCATCACTAGCGAGTTACCCCATCAAAAATGATGGAAACAATCCAGCCTCAGTATTCGAAAACTCTACCCATGAGGAAGCATTGGCGGTCGATATGCATGAAATTAAACATCATGAGCCAGAAATAGCTTTTCAAAATCCAGCATCGCCAGTCAGTAAGCACTCTCCCTCGCCCATTTCCTCTGAAAACCAAAGAAACTTGAATGACATAGCTGAAATGAGTACTGCAGTGGAGCCACCTAATTCCACAGCAAAACCCAACATTCTTTCAAGAGGGTAAGATTTTATCATTCATAAGCCATGATTCTTTTTTGTTTCCTCTTATTCTTTTTTTTACCCAAAATAATTACTTTACTTTGAACTGCACTCTCAACAACAAAAAAAAAACAAAAAAAAAAGAAAATCCAACCCACTTGGATACAAAAGCTTTAAATGCAGAGAAACTGGAAACAATTTGTAAAATGATGTATTTTTTCTGGCTCACTTAGAGCTCACACCAAAAACAGAAAAGCCGTGAATCATCTCCCCTCTTTACATACTCACATGTCTTCAGGGCAGCATAAATTCAAATTCAAGGGCTTCTAAAAATGATGCTAAAGTTTGTTTTTTGAGCAAACTATAGCAGATATTCAAACACAGCTTTCAAGGCCTTGCAGATTAAATCCTTCCCTTTAAATGGAGATTGTTGGAAAAAAACTCAAAAATCTGCATCCCAGATGGTCACCCGGGTAAAATAGCAAAGGGGCGTTGAGTTTACGTTCTTTCTTCACCAAGGGGCAAGTGATCCAATCAGGGGAGGAATACCATGCATCAAAATTCTAAAGAATGTGTCCCATTAAGGAGGGTATTTTGGTCCTAACTTTGGTCGAAAATTGAAACAGCTTAGAATAATGTCATGTATGGTCAAATCGATTCTTAATCATCCACCCTGTGAGAACTTATCTTTATTTGAGGTGCTTTTGGAAGGTTTTTGCCTGATTTACCAGCGCAAAGTAAGTTTTGCAGTTTTCTCGAATAATTGCTCGTTTTCGGTCCTAAATTAGATTTTTTATGTATGAGCACAATAGCAACTACCACTTTCTCCTTTAAATATGTTGTAATGGGTGTACTAAAGATTAACATATTCGAATATGAAAGTGGTAGTCCCTTGTACTGGCACTTAAAAGTGAACTTACGTCACTTTTCATAATCCTGGAAAATAAATAAATGTATGAAATTTATTTGAATTTCGTACAAATGTTTTCAATTTCAGTAGTTGCAAAAGTACCTAACCCTATAAGTCTGAGAATAGTTTTTGAAATATTTAACAATACCTAAGTGACTAATGTAGTGCATAGTCCGCACACAGTGGTCAAGCTAATCAGCGCACAGTGAACAGTAATCGGCACGTAATCGGCATAATCAGTGAACTTCAACTGCTCGCAATTCCTTAGAGACACAACTGGTTAAGCTAAAATGAGTGTTTCTCAATGTTTTAGGGTCTAAGCTAAAAACATGCTTAGACCCTCAAACCTTTTGGGCCAAAAAACCCTCCTTAATGGGACACATCCTTTTGCTTACTAAATTTTGCAAAATTTTTCTCAGTTTTTCTAAGGTATGATTTGCTCTGTTCATCTAGTCTATAGACAAACTCTATAATTTAAATTTCAAAAAACAAAGTAAGATAAATTCTGTAAAACAATGTAGAACACAATATTTCCGTGATTGGTCACAATAACTGCCGTGGTCTAGGATAATCTTATTTCATCCTAGGTCACATTGGTCATATTGACTAACAGGCCTAAAAATTTTAGGGCTCTGAACTTATCTACATCATGATCCAAAATTTAAGCAGGATCCTATTACTAGAACTCATGGAACTCACATTGAAAAACGGCTGTAGTCTGTCAGAAACTACCACCCAAAAACAAGTTGGGAGGCATTAACTATCTTCTTGTCCTCTATATTCCAGGAGCAACATGAGCAGAAAAGCGCAAAAAAGGAGAGATAAATTCGCTTTGGCAAGGACCAATCTAAATGCACAAGCAAACGCAAGCTTGGTCAGGAAATCAAGATCAGAAAAGGAAGGAAGCAAAGTTGGAGGGAGCTCAAAAAAACCTTGTCCATATTGCAATCAGCTTCACCAAGGCACAGTTTGCCCTGTCTTTTGTCCCATTAAAAGGATTAAAGATTCGATATCGCATGAAGATTGGATTAAAGGCGATGTGTTTGTTCATTCGAATTCAGTCTGTGATAGTGATGAAGAGTTGAACTTCTCAAAATGCTCTCTTCCGGAATGCTTAGAACTCAAGTCAATTAAATCTAGTCATGATTATAGTGTAGTCGCCAGACTCCAGATTCCCCAGTTTACAGAATTTGGCCCGCTGATCGGAGAACCTATCAAAATGCAGGATATTCCAGATGATTGTAGTATGCATAGTATTTGGGAGGTGAGTACTTATTTTTTATCTATATATGTAACACAGAGCACCCTGAAAGGAATCATAAATAAATTTGTAGGAATTAGTTTTATTTGAAAAGTGGTCTCTACCTATCACATGTCTGATCGCTGAGTCAAATTCATCACTAAAGAGCATACCTAAGTAAAACAAAATGCACTTGGGTATCATATCCCAGTATTACTGGATGTGCAGAAAGTTAAAAGTTTTCCTCAGAAAATGATTGAGTTTCAAAGGGATGCTACCCTTTAAATAATGTAAAACGGAGGGTTCTGGGTCATCAGTATGAATGTATTGCAGTGGGGTAGAAAAAAACCGAAATGAGGTATGTCACACAATACTCAAACACCTTTTCTATTTTGCCTAAACTGCATTCAGTATTTAATTTAGTTTTGTATGTATTTTGTTCCCAGTCAAGTTCAGATATAAGTAGGTCATTGATTGTAAAAAAGTGGAAGTAAATTTTACAATACCGTTGTGTTTAATTGAATTTTTGGTGGATGGATAGGAATAATTTTTGTGAATAGAGCGCTAAAAAAAGTTGTAGAACTAAGTCTGAAGACTGGTGCTCACCTTGTAATCATCAACATTTTTTGAGTGCCTCCAAGGATGCAAATAGTTTGATCTTACGACCTGAAGGTCGTGATAGGTAGTGTGCGAAAATTGAAAGGCGCCAAAAACAGATTTCCAAAATTGAAAAATCGTATGCCCCTGAGCATAAATTGTGTATTTTACAATTGCATAGTTTTTCATTACTGCTGTGAAAATTGCAGAAATTTGTGCATCAAGAGGGCAAAAGTCCATTTTTTGAACATTTTCCACGTAAAAGTTGAAATTGAAGACTCTGAAATGGGGAAGGAGGGCTAAGAAATTTCTGTAGGTATCTCGCAGTTTCTCCACCAGATGAATGTGGATCAGCGATTTTTACTCTATTCTCAACAGAGTAAAAATATCCTCACACGTTTTGATTCCTCACTTTTACACTCCTTGGACAGGTCAAAATAAGGATGCTTGTATCACAATCATCAACCCACATGAAAGTAAAACATTTAGAATGACTTTCGGACGAAATGTGAAACTATTCCCAAAATTAGTGTAGTAGGTGATCAGAACGAATGTATTAAATAATTTCCAATGTTTCCAGGTGCAAGATAATGACGGGAAGCTGTTCTATTTAAGCACTGAAAATTTAAATCTAAGCAATTGGTTGTCTCATATAAGGCCAGCACCATCATTAGAGACTTCCAATGTATCAATAGTCACCCGTGATTCGCAATTGTACTTTGTATCCACAGCAACTATAGTCACAGGATCAGAACTTTTGTATTGGACAGACAACATTGCTAAAGTTTGGGATGATAAGAAAGTGAACAAAAAAAGTAAGTCCTCCATCAAGTGGAAATATTTTATAATAGTCTTAGAAAATAACCTGATTTTAAAGAACCATCCAAGTATACTGGCTAAACTCAGAAACCTGGTATTTTGTTTGTGGAACAGGATACCAGGTTTCAAAATTTGCGTATGTATTTTATTTATTAAAAAGAAATTAGCCAACGTAATTGCTTGGAGTTCTCACAGAATAATCTTCGAATACAGGAAGAAAGCAATGGGTTATGAAAGTTTTTTAGTACTTAATTATGTCAATCAGTTCTCCAATAAACAATAAAGTGGGATAGGAACTCCACTTTATCATGAGTGGAGATCTGTTGTTTCGGAGTTTAGCCATCAATGTTTAAGTATATCATATGTTTTGTAAAACACTTTCACCTGTGATGAGGTCTTCAATTTAGAATTGGTGCAAGGTAGGTAATGACTCGTGGTTTGGAAAGTAATATTTCTCTCTTTATACTATGTTGTACTCTATTTTTCTTTTTTTTTTCAAATGTAATTAAAATTTATTGGAATCTCTGTAAAAAAAAATTCAAATTTGATTTGTTTGTCCAGTCTACTTTTGAGCTTTCCAAGTATGAGATCTGGAAAACATTTCAGGATAATGTAATATATAGCGTTCGCAGATGATTGGACAGGTTACGCAATTAAGACCCTCAAAACATGTTTCCTCAACGAAATTTTACATAGCATACAATGGATGCAATCAGCAATGGACCTTTCAAAATCAAAAAGAGAGAGTGAAATTTTTGTAAACCTCAATTCACACTTTCCACCCAGGAGGAAGCAAAGTTTACTCAAGTCAGATAGAGCACTAAACTAATTTCGGTATACTTTTCAGTTGAAAAAGTTTCTTTTAAGTTGATTTGTTTTGATAAGATTAGAGGTGCCTTGTATCAAAAGTGGAAGGAAATGTGTGTGAAACTGTGAAACCCTGTTACAGTTATTTGCCTAATTAATTAATTAATTACATAATTAATAACTTTTAGTTGTAATTCTTACTCGGTCAGGTGATCCATTTTTCAACATATCAACTGTTTGCCTAGTGCCAGAACAATTTTGTATTTTGAATGCTCATTATTTTCTGCAGATTTAGCAATTTAGCTTTTTATACCTTGTGTGTACGAAAAACAGAAATAACTTGAAAAGTTGTAACCTACAGAATTAAAGGACCCTCGAGATGTTTGATGGATCGCTCTTCTTTTATTTTTCAGATTGTGGTGGATGTAATATAAAGTTTAATCATATTTTCTACTATCGTCTGCACTGTCAAATATTTCACGATGCAAACTGCAGCTTGACAGTGCGCAAGTACCATTGCAAAGTGTGCGGCGCTGCTGTCCTAGGCAAGCAAAATATTGTCAAACATGCCGCAGAACTTCATAGAGGGAAAGGAGCATATCAATGCCCTTTCTGTAAGAAGGTAAAGATTCATTTCTTCACTTGTTACTGTCTTGTGTCCTGAGTCAAAATTTCTGATTGTTGCAACCAAAAATCTCCTTAGCAAAAAATGATGGAGCATTAAAATTTATATAAGGTTTACCTATGGGGAGTGTAAGAGTTTACTGAAACCTGGTCACCCTTTCGTCTTGAAATTTTATTTTATTACTGCTCGTTTGGATGTCATAAGATACAGACGGTGACTCAGTTGCTTGAGTTGCAGTCTGTGCTGTATGAATGATGATGGCCCGATGGCCGAAAACACATTGTTTGAAGAAAATTTCTGCACAAATAAGTAAAAAAGGATTTATTACATTAGTTTACTGTTTGGAGTTTCAAAAGGTTTTGGGGGGAGAAAACATTGCTCATGAAAGTAGTCTAACCAAAAGACTTTACTCTAACCAGTTACTGATTCATAGAGACCTCACTAACCATTCTCCAGTTGACAGATTTTCACCTGGATCAAAATGCCTATTTTAAAGGTCTGTCAGGGTGTATACAAGCCGGGAATTCCAGGAAAGTTCGGAAATAGTACTGATTTTTTAAGGGTGGTCTGGAAGTACTGAAAAAGTGTGGAAATTCCGCAAAAAGGTCCGGAATTTTTTAATTTTTTGTCATTTTTGGCACAATTTCAAATTTTTGAAATTTTTCGAATTTCGTCAAATGGAGGTACTGAAAAAGTACGGAATTTTTCTGTCTTTCTTGAGAATGTACTGAAAAAGTACTATAAAAGTAATTATTTTTGACCAGCCTGTTTTAGTAGACACCCTGTCGGTCTTTAGAGCAAAGACCCTTTTCAGTTTTTTGAGTATTACAAAAACTTGATGAGGGGAAAAAAAAGCAAAAGTTTTGATTAGTCTTCTCATGTACTTTTTTCTTGTACTAATTCTTTGTCTTCAATTTTTTACAGTTTTTCTTACGACTTAACTATTTGGATATGCATAAAACTTATGGGTGTTCATCAAATCCTCTGCGGCTGAGACCTTTATGTGATTTTTGCGGACGAAAATTTTGTCAGCCCCAGAAATTGAAAGTTCATATCAAACGAATGCATGGCGGTATGTTCACAACTATATCTGTTCACAAAAGAAATTTATTTTGAATGGGTGTTGAATGCTTCGAGTTGGACCTTTACCATCAAGAAATTGTTGTAACCCTTTTAGCTTTCACTGTATGTTCACCCAACTTTGAGGGAATTTAGAAGAAAAATGTTTTTATTTTTCGATTTTTTCAAGCAAACAGCTTTTACCTACGTCTGGGGTTCAAAGTATCTTTTTAGAGATGAATTTAAAATATTTTCTCAACACCTTAAATCCTGATCTTGATCTGAAGGGGAGGAGAGGACCGGAAACGATCCCTCCTACCACCAGCAGGGGGCCATCCCTAAATTATGTAATGCTCCAAGGGGTGAGCGGGGGTCAGCGCTTTACGGTGTTAAAAGGGGTGCGGGTACAGAGCAAAGTGTTACTTAACTAGTTTAAATGATTTTTTTCGATTTTCTGTAGAATTTTTCGTCAGTTGCCTTTAGAAGTTTTAAAGAATCTCAAAAATATTCTGTGCAATACTTCCACTTTTCCTCTTCAAATAAGAACGCCAATCTTTTCAGTAATTGTATGGTGATTTTTAGATTATTTTTTATCATGGGGGGGGGGGTTCTGGGCAG